CCCTTAGCACTAAAACTCATTAGGCGCCCCTTAAGATTTTGTGTTTTTTCATGTGGACCCAAACCAACTCAGAGGGTGAGTCACCACATCCTAACCCATACCACCAGTCGCGGCCGTTCGAAGCGTTGGCCACCCCTGCAGCGGTTCTGCGGCCGCCTCACGGGGTTTCGAGCACGGCGCTCAGGGTGCGAGGTGAGCACATCTGGTACCCATGGTTCTCAGAACCTGCGGCAACCCTGTAGGGCAGTTGAATGACCCCAGCAGCTGACATCCCTTACAGACCATCCGATTCCAAGCACCCTTCGGACAATGGAGCCATGGCAAAGAGCAGGAAGAGCTCAAGTCCGATCTCGGGGTATGGTAGGAAGAGCTTAAAGCCCGTTACCACTGAGTTGTTATCAAGATGAGGATGGTATGGGGAAACTGAAAAGAGTGGCGGCGTCCAGCCACCCAGACGGCTGGGATATCAGTGTCTCAGCGGCTATGCGGCTTTCGTGTGTTGCCGTTGGTTGAGGCTGCTGACAGAGTAGAGTAGAGTAGAGTAGAGCTAGAGCAGAGTGGAAAAGACAACCTTCCACAAGAATCACTACTAGGCTTCCATTGAGAAAGGATACACCCGCACAACTCATGTGTACACCTGCCCTCTGCCAGCAGCCCCCCAACCGCGCCGGTGGAGCCTGATCGTGGCCCGCTCCAAGAAACAAGCGCAGAGGCGGCGCAGCCCGCCTCAGCATGATGGATGTTTGGAACCTTCTCCTGTGGTGGGTTCAATTGGGTGTCCATTCGGCGCCCCTTACAAAGGAGGTAAATCCAAAACTCATTGGGCACCCTTCGGATGGTGCTGGTACAAATGTGCTTCTTTGTTTTTCTCTAAACAAACACACATAATTACCCTGAACATAGCGGCATAGCGCGCCAATGGTGACTTGCATGCCTGTGTTATCATTAAGGACTGCTGTTTCACGAACATTTTCATTTGTTTTTAGCATGCAACCTGACAACAGTTGTATCCCTTCAAGAGAACGTGCCCATGCAGTTCTATGTTGACCTGACGTGACTTAAAGCCACCCCGACCCCGATGTGACTTCAACGTTTGTAGCGTACCCAAGTGGTAGATGTGACTTAAGCCATGAAGATGTGACTTAACTCCTCTATTTACAGTGCATATACAGTTTGATGTTCATGTCAAGCCGTGTGTGTTCTGGCCTTGGTCATCCTTGATGGGTCTTCCCTTGCCCTGGTAGATGTGCTTCGCGAACTCTGAGGAGTGCTGGGGTGACAGTGGCACTGTTTGCATTCGCGAATCGATGCAGGAGTTGATGCGAGTGACCGGTGGAGATGTCTCGGGGAGATGTATTGAAGGGATGTCACGGGATGTCATGGAAAAATCATAGCAAAACCCAGGGTGGCCATCATATTGAGTTATTGACAGAGTAAATGATATATTACTGTAAACATATATTTATACCCGGACCTATGGAGGGGTCTGGGACCCGGCATTCTCAAATCCCTAGGGTTATGAGGGAACGGCTGGGCTGTTTGGAGCATCGAGATGGCCTTTTACTATCCGAATGACCGACCCCTCCAGTCTTCCCGTTCGTAGGCACATCACTGGTTTGGAGCCTTTGGGTACACGTGTGACCTTTTTGAGTTTGATGAGCCGCCGGAGCCACCGTTGGAACATGTGCATTCATTTTTTGAAGGATCGAAGTTCTTGCGGTTCTTGGTGCATGAAGAAAGAGTCGAAGGTCGAAGATGGTCGAAGTATTGGGCCCCTTTTTTGGTACCTTTTTTGTAATCAAATGTGGTTGACCCCTCATCAAAGGTTGAAGGATCCAAGTTGCACGCCAAAACTGAACAGACCAGAAAATCGTCCTTTCGGTACCTTTATACCAGAGACTTTTCTTGACAAAACCTCTCCATTGGGATGGGAGAACCGCAACTTCTGGTTAGAGTTCGGTAACTATGTGATTGTCTTGTTTTGTTTTTGAAAAGCCACTGACTGAAGAGGGATTGTTCCCCATGATCCCCAGCTGTGTGCGTGAGTTAGACAGTTAGCCCATGCTAGAAGTCTTCTTGGGTCGATGAGTTGTTAACAAGGCTGGTGAGATCTTGGGAATCATGGTTGTTAGCAACTCAAGAGGGAGTTCTAGCCATTCACCCAAGGGTGTTCGCCCCAAAGGACAGCCAGGAGTATGACGACAGCCAATTCTATGTCCTGTGTATCACTCGACATGTATCCAATGTGCTTTCACAAGCTGCACGCCCTTCAGTTGGTACACGAGAGACCTCCAAACAATAGTGACCATGGTCCAAAAGATGACAGGTTTAGTTTGCTCAATGTTTTTTTGTCTGATTTTGTCCAAATGCCTACCACGTTTTGGGTGTTGTACCATCTTTGACTTAACTTGTCATGACATACCATTGATATTCCAAAACATGACATCAGGACTACCATCTTTGATTTTCCAAACAACAGCTTTGAGTTTGGCCGTTCCGATCATGAACAGTTGCCCTGCCCAAAAAGACCGTGGTGAGGAGCTCCTCACCCGCACTAGCCACCTGGCCGTACACTCGAAGCCGGCGTCGAAGTTTTCGCACCACCCGACCCGACCCTCGGTGTCTTCTTCCGTCGGATGGACGATGTCGGTAGACACCTCCGGGTGTTGCGTTCCACCCACGTGTGGCGTTCAGACCTTCGAGTTCGGCCGACACTGACATAGCCAGACCGATCCCAGGGGTGATTGGTTTCGGTTTTGCTCCTGTGCTTGACCTGATGGTCAATGTGTAAATACGCCAGTCCCAGACAGGTTGTGTTTGGGTATATGTGATTCGTGTTGAAACTGGGCGCGGATTCTTGGGCTGGAGACGATGGAAACCTCCGCAGAGCCTTGGAGTATAGAAAGTCGAGCTGACCGGAGCCGTCAGCATGAACCGAAGACTTTGGTCTAGGGAGATCTATGTGGACAACGTACCACTCCTTGAAGACGTCCCCTAGGGCCCCAAGTACCTCCTCAGAAGGTATCTGGACCCTCTCAACCCACCCCAAACACCTTCTTAGAAGGTATTTGGAACCCTAGGGGTCATGAATCCCTAGAAGTCCAAAGGTTTAACCTGGTCCGACCGACCTCATTGAGTTTACTGGCTTTGCATTTTTCCGGATCCAGTCAAATGAGGTCCGTAAGACCTGTTAAGAATGTTTACTTGGATGGCATTGGCCCTCGAGTTCGGATAACTACGAAATCCGAATATACTAAACAGGTGGCGGTTTTCCACGAAACCATGCTCCTGGCCTCCATACATGAGAGAGAGCATCCTCCAATTCATCCTATATAGACCAATGACTGCCGTGCCAGACTGCCTCCTACCATCCAAGTGGAGTGCTCCTGTCTTTGGTGTTGAAGTCTGAATCAGTCCAGTTTCATCTCCTCGCCTTCTTCAGAATGAGAGGACAGCGGCCCGAAGCCGGATGCGAGTCACCCCATGTCGGTGAGGCATTCGATGCCTCATGGGCCACGAGCTGCGCATTGCGATGACCTCCAAGAAGCCCGAGGATCGGAGCATTGTGGCGCCTTGGACGGGGCGGCGGGTTCCGAGCGCACGAGGCGGGAGAGAGGTGCGTGCGACCGAGGGAGGCCGGTGGTGAGGTGGGAGGCCTTTGTGGTGGTTGTGGCTGTGGTGGATCTTAGGTGGATCTGTGACGTTCTATGAGGAAGCCGGAGATTCCTGTGGCGTTCTGTGCGATGTTTTCATAATGGTCTTGTGTTCCATATGGTTTTTTGGAATGATGGGTGTGGCACCATCAAAACAGACAGCCCAAGGGTTGTCACAAACCTTTTTGGGGCTTCAAGCAGACAAATAGGACTGTGCGATGAAAGATGTGGGAAGGAAGTTGGAACCTTAATTTATATGAGCAACCAAAGACTAGAGGGCCAGTTTGCGGCTTGCTACTAAAGCAACGTGACCCCAGTGAATCAATGTGTTTTTGTGAAACGATCAGTTCGTTCTCCACCCTGAAACAGAAAACTGCTGCTCCGATCAGTTCGGATAGAAGCTTTTGCCATGCTTGGGGATGACTTCCCTTCCTGTTCAAACAAACCGCTTATCCTCAAAGCTCTTCAAAGGACCATTTGTTGCGATTGAATCCTTGGACCATCAACAGCAAAAATCGGTCCACGTCAATGCCATCGCAGTTGACAGCAAGACGTCCGGAAAACCGAGGAAATGCTCCATATCCTCGAGAAAGGCGCTGAACGTGTCGTGTCGTGGCACTGTTGTGTTTTGCGGGAAGGCAGCTGGTACTCGAGATGGCAAGACAGCACCCAAAGCATGGTTATTTAGCCTTCGAACTGCAAATTTGTCTAACATGCATGGACCCTGAAAACCACTATAATGGGTTGTAGAGGAACATCTTCTAACTTCCAGGAGTCCTTGTTTGCAGAGTCCATGGGATCGTTTACAGGATGCTTATTGGGACAGGAGGGTTCCTCCAACGTCTGAGCAGATACCCACCAGATCCCACCAGGACATGTCCCAAAGTCATCCAAAGACTTGAATTGACTGAACGGTTGCAGATCATCCGTTCTTCTTCTTGTTACTATGAAGAGTTTCGCCTCAGTCAGTACCAGGCACTTACTATGGGGGTGTCTCCTAATCGTGTCAACCGCTTGGCCCTGGCCGAGAACCTGACTGGAGCAGCCTCGTCGTCGTTTCCTCACCGCCTATGCAAGGGGGAAGTATGCAAAAGGAAGGTAATATATGTGTATATCATGTATACAGGGGAAGTATGATTGACCAGTGACATGGAAAAGGTGGACAACAAAAATCAAAGCCTTTGGATCCAGAAGGTTCGGAAGATCATATACTGAAATGCCGAGCTGACTTACTCTGGCAGTAGCCGTGCAACGGATGAAGTGTACCTCGAGTGCTTTGGCTTTTGCCCTGCTCCACGGCTTGGTCGGACAAACAGCCCATCTTCCCAACGACGACACCACTGCGCGATGCTTGAGACCGCGAACGACATCGGTTCTCGCTCGACATCGGAGACGCTCCGCCACCCGTCGCCAGGCATGCTGCCGATGTCGGTCTTCTGGCCCAATGCGCCAATCCAGAGACATCGCGAGCGCGATCAGGCGCGAAACCACACACCGCGTGGGGAAGAAAAACGTGGTGAACCCCTGCCGCGCGGGGCTTTCCCCCGCGCGGGAAATAGCCTGTGGTGGTTCTTAGATATGTGATATATGTGTGCAGTCCCATGAACCACAGAGGATTATTGTGACCATCATCGAACATTCACAGTCTACGTACTATACGTAGTCTCAGAAACCCCTTGTTCCCCATGAAAGGAGTATAGCGCGACTTGCTTCATCTGTCCAAGCCACAGCTCATGTTGAGCAGTGGAGCTTGCGATCATCTACGTTGTTCCCGATGTAAAGGAGTATAAAAGGAGTGGGAAAGGATCATGGCTGTAGCCTTAGCCGTAGACACCATAGCCGTAGCCTTAGCCTTAACCATGTGGTCAGATCTTCTTCCAAGAGAGGTTGAGTGACCTGAACTAGGACCCTACTGGGGTACCGAACTGGGATAGCCTATACGGTCCTTCAACCTCTGTTGGTTGTAGTGGACATGGCCATAGCCGTAGCCTTCCGGTCGTCCACCTCCCTCGCGTCGGACCGGACCCTCGTCTAGGCTCGGCGTGAGATCCACGAGATGATCAAACCGATCTTGCGGCCCGGTGCAACGGCGAAGGGGGGCTACGGCTTGCATGGAGCATACTACCAACAGAGGTATCCAGTGACCTGAACTAGGACACTACAGGGGTACCGAACTGGGATAGCCTAGTTCGGGTCTTGAAATGTCTCTGTTGGTACGTACCGCCAGCAGTCACGTTCGACGACGGGGTGCGTAATGAATGGAGGTAGTCGGGGTGCCCCTGTCACATCCACTCACTGGATGGGACTAAAAAACCATCCCGTCTTGTGACTCCTGGTAGTAGCTTCTTGTTATACGTTCGTAGTAATGGCCTTGCCTTCTAGCGATGCTTCTTGCTAGTAATCAGGGCCCAGAACATGCAAAACCCGAGTGAAAAAAGACAGCCAGGGAGTCACAGTGATCAGGGTGCCGAGGGCGAACGGAGGATGTGGCCCTGAGTTCCATCCACACCACCCTGGCACTTTGGTGACTCCTCCAAGAGAGGTTGAGTGACCTGAACTAGGACCCTACTGGGGTACCGAGCTGGGATATAGTCTATACGGTCCTTCAACCTCTGTTGGCTGGTGAGTATGCTGAGTCTTTTCGCACGTGAGAAGAAGTACATCATTACTCATTCCAAGACCCAAGGAGTGACAATCCAGTGGATCAGCCCTGGAATCATTAGACGATGCGCTGAATCTCCTGTTCTACTCTGCTGAATGGGTCCAGGCGGACACGGGGCCTTCGTGGGTCCAGGCGACACGACACGGGAACAACGACACGTCGGGAGGTGTTTGGGGGAAAAAGTGGGAGTGTTCCACCAAGGAGCCAACCGGTGGAATCGATCAGTTCATTTGGAAGGTCGATCGATTCCCGTGGCATGAGGTTGTCAGAGTATACGAGAGTGAATGTGAAGGAAAGTGTCAGTGAAAGTTATCAAAGTCCAAAACATCATGCCGCTCTGAGTGCCGCTCCTGGTAACTGGTATACTCTGACACATCCATGTCACTCTGGTATGTCGATATTCATATCCAACGGCACTTTCAGAGTGAGATCTGTCGTCGTGAGATCCGTCGTTGATCTTGTTGAGATGTCTCACATCCATACGACCTCCCGGGCCCGGCTTTGAACATGAACACATGATTTAAGCTATATATGAGATAAAATGAAATGCACATGTAAATCGCTTAATAAGATCTAAATATTTTGAACATCTTTGTTTAGAGACGGCACATCTGGCAGACTGCAAAACATATATTCTGTGCAACCATATATGGTTCTCCGCGGTCACGGCGGCGGCTTCTTCAACCCGCGAGTGCGCCCTCCGCTGTCACGGCAGCCCCGCGGGTAGAACGGAGCCGGCGGGGAAAAACGCTTCTCAACTCACCCGAGGGATCAGCGAAGAAAGAAAGCGGCTCGGGAGCCCCAGAGAAGCGGTCGCTTCGGGTCAGCGGCTGTGGATGCTGTGTGGATCCATGACATTATAAAGTGGGAGAAAAAAACCGGAAACACGCATTGTGAAGGAAGTTGCGTCCCTTTGGGGCACGACCGGTAGATTCCAAAAATTCTTTTCGGGGATCTTCAGCAAGTGAATTTAATCTAATTTAATGTTTGTTTGTGGTGGCTGTGTGTAAAAAGGTCCGTCTTACATAAATCATATATGACAGCAATCCAACCTGAAGAGGTCTATCCCCCGACTCATGTATGGAGTAGGTGTATACATTTGCACCGTGAGCCTTAAGTACCAATTCCAGTCCCTCTTGAAAACTTTGAACACATCAATTTTCGACCCTGAGCAAGAAGGCCAACTCATCATTCCCTAGCCTTCCGTTCGACAGTTAAAGATTATAAGACCTGGTTTGTTGTAAATATATGATACTGCGATATGATACGATAAGACCTGGTATATATACGATACTGCGATATGATATGAGGTGATGGAAGGTTGCGAGTTTGGTTTGACACCACTGGACATGTTGAGAAGGGAATCTCCACAAACAACAAACCGTCGACCGTTTTGGGGGAGAATATATGTCCGTTCTTTGGGCACATCCAACATGAAACTTTTGTGGAATTGTCTTTTTTCTCTGTGGACACCTTTGTCCGAGCACATAGGCAGATTGTAATTGATCAAGCAGGAAGCCACAAAGAAGTACAAAGAATATTCATAAGAAACCAGTCTCTTTCATGAATCATCCGAATCGTTCTACCAAAAGAGGACGATGGTGGAGGACAACCCTGCAAGCAGACAGGATCTTCATTTCAAGACATGGCTCCAGGCATATTATGCATACCCAGGGAGTCAAAGACTATAAAAAGAATGGTCTGACTAGGGGACCTGAAAGGGAACTTCCTTTACTTCAACCGGTCAAAATATAGTCTTTGGACTTCTAGGGCGTGTGGCATACGTCGGACTCTTTCTGAGTGTCGGAAGATGTCACTTCTTCCCTCTGCCAGTCGTCCAGTGGTCCAGTGTCCGATTGGTCGATCTCCGGAGGACAAGACGGAGAAGGATTTCATGCAATCCGTCCTGCTGCTTGGCTCGTCGATGATCTGGGTGAAATAGTTTGGGAGTGATACTCTCAGATACATGCGGTTTTCTGTACGGGTTTTCCTCTTTCCTCTTGCTCTTGGATGTCGGCAGTTGGCCGGTGACCATGTTTGCAAGATCCGAATTTCTTGGGATTGCTCTCACTCGATTCATCTACGTTCGATTTCAATGAATGGAGCCTCGGTTGGATGTATGTCAGCGGATGAATGGGGTTCTGGTATACACCATACGAAGAGGTACGAAGACTTCTTATAGGACCTGCTCGGTCTTGTGACCTCCCGGGAAAAGTGTCACCTGGTTTGCCTTTCATTCGCGGGACCGTTGGAACATAGGCAAATTCCAATCCAACAGGTGGAGTAAGGTTTGTTCGGTTCACCGGATCTCTCTCTTCAGATCGAAACGGCGCTGAACTTCACTGACGTTGGTGTTTCTAGTGGCATGGCAGCCTATTCCAGCAGGATATAGCAAAGCTATGCAAAGCTGAAAATTGACAGATGTTGACAGCTTCCTTTCAACTATCAATGGGTTCCAACTCTTCTGCCCAGATGTTCAGAGCTAAACATGTAAACATTATAATATAACATCTTCTTCAAGTACATGTACCAGGACCTTCCAAGAGGTGTCTATAAATAGCCCCTTAGAGGTGAGTCAGGGTGTCCAAAAACCACCGAACTGGGTTTCGGTCCTGGATCAGTGGATCATCCGTTTTTCCGTCTCCTCCCGAACCCACCGCTTCGTCCCGGGCGGCCCGCCACCGTACGCGCAGGAACTCCACCTACCCCGACGGCCGGCCGATCACCGATGAGGAGAAGACCGAACCGAAGGGGAACGGAACGGTGGACGGTGGCTCCAAGTGACGTGAGCAAGAGAGGTGAGCTCTCAGTGACCTGCATGTTCCGAAGTCAGGACCCGTTTGGAGTGGGGAGAGCACACACGCACGCTGGCTTAAAAGCCCTTTTAGAAAACACTGTAAATATCCGTTCTGTTGAGCTTTGAGGTACCAAAGCTGGGAAATATCGTTGAAACTAATATAGGTTTATGAAGAACCTCTGCTGGTAGCGGTTCCACTCCAAGCCGGGTTGCTAAGTGCAAATGTCCTGCTCGCCTCCCTGAGCTCGGTTCCAAGCCTCTGGCAGTTCGGAGTGCCCCCCAATTCACCACTGGGCCACCACTTCGGGGCTAACTGAGGAGTGTGAGTGTCATCACTTCCTCAACGGCAACAGGGCTGAGTTTTCTGCTTTCCCTACTATAGAGGTTGGTATTATAGTGATTCTTGCGAACGAGAAGCTCATGTGGTTTCTTGCCAGAAAAGGTTGAACAGCTGAACAGACCACCTTTTGAATCGCAAGATGAGGTCAACTACATGTGTCCCGACCCCAACAATGGCGCCAGCTGGCGCACGGATCATGGACAAGCAATTGAACATGTCAATGGCGCACACGGGCGCTGTAGTTGAACATCTGCGTCCCACTCGGTCAAACCACTGAAGGGACCGGAGCGATGCTCACCTCGGACGACCCACCGTGCCGCAAGGTGTTTGGTTTAGGGGATTGAGAGTAGATGGCACACCTGCGCCCCCAAATGTTCGGTGGAACAATTTTGGACCCCCATCCAAAGCTCATCTGGGTTTTGGTGTCTACTCTGAAACCACCGTAACTGGCCACCTCCCAGCTAAGCTCTGTCCGGCCCCTCTTTTGATCGACCAGGAGATCGTCGGCTTTTTGATCGCCGCCTTCTTCGGCGGTGCCCTTGGCCGCAGTGGGGTCTTGGGCTTCGAGAGCCAGCCAAACCTGACCGACTGAAATGGCTACGGAGTTAGGAACTGGAAAAGCAGAGTGAGTCAGCCTGGGAGGCACCAGGGAGGCACCAGGGAGGCAGGAAAAGACCATTTGGACAGCCTGGGAGGCACCAGGCTGTGGGTCATGGCACTGAAAGAGGAGAGATGTTGTTGTTCCCTCCCCCCGAGTGGATGAACGGAGACTCGACCGCCCCGACTCGACGCCGACTTGACGCCCGTCGGTCAACCTACCAGGGTGAAAATGGGCGAGCTCCGGGTGCCATAGTGAGTATTACATGCACATGACTCATGACTATAAATAGTTGACGTGGGAGTTTCCAGGAAGGAGTTGATGGGTTGTTCAGCTTAAGTACATCAAGACATTCTTGAATGACCAGTGAAAGATCTTGGAGTTACCGATTTTTCGCGCCCCACAACCCACGAGAAACCCAAAACAAAAGGACCACACCGGACCACGTCGAGCTATTTTCACCGGACCAAGCACTCTGGTTGGATGACTTGCTCGGAACGTTGAGGGTCCTTATACCCTGGAAGACTAACATGGACCTTGATAACCACTGGTTGGTAGAGGAACACAATCTTCCAGGGGGCCGTTGTCAGGGTCTGTGTTAGTTTTTGGGAGTGTACTACAAGTGGACAGTGGACCGTGTGCGACGCTGGATGGGAAATCTTGCCTCAGTCAGCAGAGCCCGGCCCATGAAAGACCTACCAGCTGGTGCAGGGAACTTCTTCATTCAAGAGCAGGCCCCTTTGGAAACCAAGAGATTAAGCATGATTAAACAGTTCAAAACCCAGAGATTGGCGCATTGGCCAAACCTTCAACAAGGAGGAACAATATATTCTGCGTGTTTGCAGGCAAACCATGTGGGGAAATATGTCCGCTATGCCAAAGTATAGTGCTGTCACGCGGGCTTCAAGCAATACTTGGACATCCAGCAATGTAGAATACAAAACTCATCAAAGCTCATTGTTTATATACATATGCGTCGTCATACTTTCCCTATGGATCCACATACCTTCTCAGAAGGTATATAATTGGACCCTCAAAGCCTACATAAATAGTATCCAATTACCTTCTGAGAAGGTATGTGGATCCATAGAGTTTCTTCATCTTTCTTGGCTCTTCGTTCTTCAACACCCCTCTAACAGTCCTCGTCGTCACACCGCGAGGAATGCACAACAGCGCGATCACCACATCCTGGTCGACGCTGCTCGGTTCCAAAAGCGTGAAGCAGCCAGGCCGCTGAGCGGTGTTTCTTTTTGCAGCTGTCCACCAGCACGTTGGGAGGTATGGGAGTTGGAACTTCTTCAGCTTCTTCTAATTAATCTCTTCTATTTTATCGTTTCCAAATTTCATGTGTTTTCTTCTATACACCATGTGTTTTTGGACGTCTTCTAGAGGGTGTGTGCCCGGTGCTGAATTATATACTATCCATTTTGCACTGGCTGCCATTTCGGCAGCAACTGGGATCTGAGAACGTTTTTGTGCGCAATGCTGTGACAGGAGCTACATAGACCCCCAAATAGATAGAAATATATATATATATTATATAGATCCTCACTAAAAATGTATTGGGTACCGTTTCTATCTATTTGGGGATTCCTATAGTGTTTACAGTTGCTGTTGGATTCGGTAGACAGGCTTGTTTGTATAGCCTTATGAGTAGCATGAGGAGCCAACTATCTAAACATTCTAAACTATCAGTATCAGCTTCGCCAAACGGCCCTTTGTGAAAGATGACATGTGGCATGCGGCATTGCGGAAGGCGGCTCATCCGCTGGTGTGGCAACCACTAGAAGTGCCACAAGATGTTTGTTGTTCAGACATATGAAATTAGACCGGTCGTGATGACGGATCGTGAAGCCCAAAGGCTATACCAAGCCGTTTGATAGAGGTAATATAGACATCGACGGTGGATTATGTTGCACTCAGTGTTGCACCTTATCCATGTCTAGGAGATGTTTTACTCGTCAAGAGTCTACATTAGGGCGAGCAGAAGAAGTCATCTCTTGCTCTTGGCACCAACTTTACACCTGTGACTGAGCTTCAGCCACAGCATTACATAAAACGTTCTAGTATAGTAGACCAGGTGTAGTAGAAGACACCGAACAATAGATTACTATTGGGGCACTGGGTCTAGCGTTGAGCCATGAACCTTTCACCTGTACAAACCGAAGACCCCGCCTGGTTGCTGGAAGTCCTGAACAAACTCTCTTGCCGAACTCCTCGGCACATGAGGCTGGAGCTTTTCTCGCGACCCGAGCTGGTACAGGAGCTGCTGGAAGAGCAGCGCGCAGTTGCTTGCCAGTATGGGATGGATGACGCACACTTGGACAACACCATGACTGTTAACTTGCAGCCAGTACAAGTAGTAGACTCTTGATTAGAAAACACCCATATTCATATGAAGCGAGCTTTGTCAATTCAAGTGGGGAGTTATTATTCAGAATTCAAGAGTCTACATTCTAAGTAATTTAATTGGGTCATCTACGACGAGTCATGTGGATTCATGTCATACAATCACCTGAAGCCACCTGTGGGCCTGTGGAATCATGGCCACTGTGCCATGACTGTTGTTGTCCTAAGTCCATTCAAGTGGTCAATTAGCTGGACGCAGATGCGAGCACCTCCGATCAGACACCAGTCCTTAACTATTACCGTAAGAACCCATAGCCCGTATAGTGTTACCACACTAGTTGGTCATATAAAAGAACTGCAGATCGCCAGGGCACAGCTTTGTGAGGAGTTTTGGTTGGGACATGATGGAAGACATCCTGGATGACCTGGAAAAAACTTGCATTACCTCTTGGTGGGCCATATCGGACCACAGATGCCGCCAGATCGGCGGCCAATACTTCTGCCGCAGTGGTCGACCGATGCCCCGATTGATAAAGGCTATCTTGCTGTGGAAGCTATAGCAGCTATTGTGTCGGAGCAACGGCAGCAAAAGAACATGAGTCCTACGAGGCATGATGCGTACATCCAATAGCAATCGGATACTAGAAGGAGCATCGTGCTGACCAAAAAGACCAAGACGCAAAGGCACCGCTTCGTAGAGAAGAGCACCAGCCAGTTGACGAGAACTTGTTTGCTGCTGGTGATTAGAGGATCTGACGATCAATGCAGAAAGTGGCAAAACTTGGCGATTGTCCGTGCAGGGGAGTATGCCTCCATTTGGAGCAGCCTTGAAAACTCTCCACCGGCTGATGGGCAGACGACTTGCAAACAACTCTGTGATCGATTTCGGAGCCATCCACTTTCGTCCTGCTGGAAGTTATGATTATCCTGATTTGTTCTTCTGGAAGTTTACAATACAAAAAGCAAATCATCAAACAGCTTGACCAATGAACACCAAGTTTCTCTTGGTCCTCTGAATGGATTCTCCGAGATGGAAATCATCGCAGAGACCAAGTTCTGTATTGAGTAGATGGCACAGACCCCAAGAGGTGGTGTATATGGACCCCCATCTAAAGGGCATCATGGGGTCTGTGCCATCGAGCCTCTGAAACCACTGTATTTTTCTGGCTTCATCCGGTCTATAGATTCGATAGGATGCTTTGTACTCATCCACAGACTCAGCGCACCACTTCCATTCGCTCCATGTTGGTCTTTTTCCAAACATGTTTGGATTTACTTAGCACCCCCCATCCAGGGGTTCGAGTGTTTTCCAGCCCAACTTGGTAGGGCTGGACCGTCCAAACATGCGACCTGTCAGCCTTCTCCATGCGGGGATGTGAATGAATACTGTGCTATGATGGTTTGGACAATGAAAGGATGCCGAAAGAACCGCAACCACCACCATTGATTTAAAAGCCTCGCGAATCCCGAACAATGATTGATTTAACTGCTTCGAATCCAAAACCAGGTCAACCTTGGAGGAATGATAGATGTTCATGGAAGGCCCTTGGGCCCAGGTGGGATGCAAATTCCAACACGGATCCGCCGAACAGAACAACCACGTCGCTTCCTTCCGGATCGACTGGGCTTGAGGCGTTGGGCAGCGATGATGCGCCCTTCACCTTTGATGCCTACGAGAAGATGAAGAAGTTCCTTGGTGTCAAGGCCTCGAGCTTTGCGGGGTTTTTCAATTTCGAGGTGTCCAAGGCATGTTTGGTTCGTGGTCTTGCGGGCAACCAGCACTGTATGCAGGGGGTGGAAGGACTAATGACTAAGGACTAATATTGAATGAGATGAGATGAGGTGCCAATACAGCAGGTCTTTTGCCTGGCGAGAGCTGCCAAAGGCAGTAGACACGGAACGGACCCGCCGGGACCTGCGGGGCAGCCTGCGGGGACCGATCGATCGTTCCGTGTGTGAAGGTTCTGAAGCGTTGACGTGTTTTTCTCTGTGGATCGCTTCCCGCTAATCAAGAGTGTTCATCGTATAGAAGATATACAAAATTAAACATGATGCATTCCTTGTGGAAGTCTGTTAATTAACAAAACACACATCCCAAGATCAGGTTGTCACCAGGGCGACCCTGGTGCAAGACTGTACAAGGCCGTTACAAGGCCCATTTCAACGGACTTAGGTCTCCACCCTCGCAAACACCTCCTCCTAATTACCATGGGGTGTGTTCTGCTATCCGTGCTCTTTGTGCTGCGCTGCGCTCCGCTCCCTTCTCCGCAGCCGGCGGCGCTCCGCGCGCGTCCGCGCCCGCTTCGCTTCTGCCGAGGCTGCGCGCGGCCGTGAGCGAAGTCTTGCGAATGCATGCGCCACTCTTCCTGTTGATGCGAACCGTCGAGCAAGACGTGGAGTTCAAGGCGTATCGATCCACAGAGACGGAGGATGCGAGGGTTTTCGGGGGGCGAGAGAACAGCGCGATGTGACGCCCGGCAGCGTATCTCCGTTTTTGCCTCTTGACATACGGGAGGAAGAAGAAGAAGAAGAATAAAAATAATCAGAAGAAGAAGAAACATCTCGACTTGAACTATCTGTGGGGTATTGTGAGTTCAGTAACTATCAGTATAGCTATGGGACGATCATCCAAACTAGAACTATCTATTGTGAGGAGGGATGCGTTCAGTTGGGATGATCGTCCCATAAGCCGCCCAGATCGATGTTCAGATGGATTCGGTACAAGATGTCTCGGTACAGGACGGAGTCATACTTCTGTGGCGGCCAAGAGTGAGAACACCAGAACCAGCAAAAGAAATGGGACGGTTTACATGTGTTTACTGTCATTGTATCTACCTACCGGTTTACAGTTTACATCTGTTTAGCCCAACAAAAGGACTTTTTGAAGGAACAATGAGAGGATTAGACGTCTCACCACAGCCACTGCAGAACACCACGTTAGGTTCCACCCCCATGTTCAGCGCTATTATCTCATTCAACTGCAGGCCAGTGGGGTCTCTCCATGTTTGGTTCTCCGCGGCGACCGCGTCGGCGAGCGCGCTTTTTCGAGGGCTACACCATCCGCCGCGGCAGCGTGGTCGCTTGCTCACCCAACGTGAGCCAAATGATGGATGCCGCTCGACCCGAGTCGACCGGAGGAGTCCGGACCGGTGGTCTCACCGGTGAAAGGAACGGCCACGAGTTGGAGGATGTCCGAGAAATTGAACGTCCGAGTCCTTGTCCTTGCTACTATAGTAGTAATGCCCTTGTTACTAGTAGCGATGCCCTTGTTACTGGTAGCTTCTTGTTCCTAGTAGTAATGCCAGGAGCTTCCCGGTCGTAGCTTCTTGCTCCTAGGACTCTTGGGAACTACCAACGGGTTTCGATGTGAACGTTCTTTCCTGTGTGGCGGAACGTGCCGCGAACACAGTGAATCAGGAGGTGAATCAGTAGGTGAATCATTTTGGATTTCATTGGCATTATACACTATATACCTGAAAGAATTCATGGAAGGTGGACGCCCACCTTTTTGTATAGTGGTGGAACATGGTTTTTCCGTCTGGGCCATGTTCCACTTGCCATGATGATTTCAGGGATCGTCACCTTTCAATTGCTCCAAACATACCAAGAGAGGTTGAGAGACCATATAGGACGCTGTAGTGGTACATATCTGGGATGGGCTATAAGGCTGTTCAACCTCTCTTGGTAATCATGTTTCTTGGATCTCTCGCCAATTCTCATCACTCTACGTGATTGTTTCACCTGGGAACCGGCGCTTGGTTCGGAAACCGCTTGGCTTCGGAGTTCCGACGGGTGCCTGTAATCCGCCGTGACCCGAGTGCCCCAAGGGCCGTCCGGCACCACGCTCGCTCGGTCGGTCGGACCGAGGATGTGTACCCCAAGGCCGAGACCTTCGATCCGAAGCGTTTCATCGACGGGATCAAGGAGACCCCTCTGATGAGTGCGCGGATGGGTGCGCGTTCGGTCGCGCGGTACAACCGGGAGGTCTCCCGGTTGGAGCGCGGAACAACCGGGCCAGGTGAGGTGGGGAGTTTGGCTGGAGACGGGTGATGGTGTAACAGGGATGACGGGGTGGGTGTGCCGCAAAGCTGAACGTTGTGTTGGTGTGAGGGACCTCAAAAGAACTCGCTTCTGGACATGTTCCAACGGAAACGGACCCTCCTCCGAAACGACCCATCAAACAATCCATTCGGTGACTGGGCCCAGGCTCGATCATCCCAACTTCGGCCGGTCTGAATACGGGACCCCTCGGAAATGGACACCGCCCCCCCCAAATCAAAAACATGTTCGTTTGCAAAGCAGATCGGAGAAACGAGACAAGGTTCTTGATTTTGCTCCCATTTTGCCGGGATCGGGGATCTACATTCTTGGTGAGGTTCAGAGCTCGGAGATGATGGAAGACAGCTTCTTTTCTTTGACATTGACCTTCTCACTTGCTCCTCCAAGCCTGGGCCATACTTGAGGCAGATATAGGCAGACAAATGACGACTCACCGTGTTCATTCAAGACTGTTGAGTTGGAACTTCCAGAAGCACAATTACTCTTGTGGTTAGGTGATGTGTTCATGTTAGGCCAATACAGTTAGGCCGCAGGGGAAGAACGCCATGTTAGGCCAATTAAAGGCCATGTCGTGGCACCGGTGTGTGGCACCGGGCACCGGCCACCGTCCGTCGAACGCCGTCGAACGCCGCAGGACGAGTTTTCCTTCATCTCCTTCGGCGGCGGGCGACGGGTATGCAAAGGCCGGCAGCGGTGGGAGCGTTCCGCGTCGTACCGAGGCGACCCTAAAGCTCCAAGCAAGTGCTCAGAAGGTGGGGTAGACCATCAACCACCCATCCCAGCCACCCATCGAAACGGAGATAGGCCAGGAGCCCGGATGGGCGATGCGGATGGCGACGGCGATGGACTCGTGGCGACCGACTAAAGGAGTGACCGACGTCCCGGTCACACGACTAGTGGGACCTGCCATATTTGCCGCACGGAGACCCCCGGTCAAGCATCCCGGGGCGGCAAACATGGCAGTCCATAAAGTGAACCGAACTTGGTTCATCTCAGGTGGTTGAGGTCCACGAGTGAGTTCGGGCCTGCAAGTTAGAAATGTGGCCAATGTCACTTATTAGGGACTCCAAAACAGGTCACGAACTGAAGAAGCTGGGAGGTTACCGGTGTTGATTCTTTTTTCGTATAGGCGTGGCTCATGCCGTCGTGTTCTCTTAGGTCCGAACGGTCCGTCGGGTGGCGATGCCGTTCCCTTAGTAGCGGTCCGGTCGCTGCTGATAATGAAGAAATTGGACATGTTTGACATTCTGGATGATTTGAGGTCAGTGACCGCTCGTTTTTTCATGAAGCCCCCCCAGAATGAAGTAAAACTCAAGATACTCAAGAACTGAACAAGTCCAATCACTTGAAAACGGTTCCATAAGTCACAAAGGCTAAGGGGGTGGTGTGGCTCGTCCCGCCTCCAGCTGTGAGTGGATGTAGTTCTGGGCACCCCGACAATCTCCAGGGATATCACCCAACTCCATGGAACTGCAGTACATGGGACATGGCCCAAACAAAAAGCAGGTATATAGACCCCCAATTAGATAGACAAGCAATATCTCTTTCAATATGTGATCGTGTATTTTTCTCAGTTGACATTGTCTTGGCATGACTCTGGGGTTTCGCCCACACTGCGTGCACCGGACGGAAGAGGTCCATCATTTCCGAGGCGAAGCTCGTAACTTCAGGGTGTCCAAAGTTCCATTCGTTCTGAGGTGGTGTGTTTTCGAACACCTTGGAACGTGTTCCTCCAATTCGCACAAGAATGGAACTTTGACTGGTTCGGGGTGTCCCAATTCTAACCTCCAAGTGTGTTTTGGCCTCTCGTTTTGGATCACGTTGGAACATGTTCCACCGAGAACGCTCATCTTCGTTGGCTTAGACTAAGACCGATCCATCGAATCGGCAGCTCTTCGACATTTCGTCCGGACAATGACACCGGGGACACACCGGTCAACATGTTTTGGTTCATGAACTATATGGGTCCAATGTCCAAACCCGTGGGACTTGAACTCGATGGGACTTGGGGGGTGTTTCGGTTTCTCGATCCTTCGATCCACTTCCACCTAAATGAGCTGGGTCACAGGCCAGGAGTTCGGGTACCTGCAGGTGCAATGTGCCTGGGAACCCCAGCCGCGAAGGACCATCGCGTTAGTGGCGGATCTGTTCGCGTGTGGACGACTTGGGAGTGGCCCCAGTGCCTTTTGCGGTGACCAGGGAGGGAGGTAGATGGGGAGATGGGCAAACTTCTTGGGACAGCAAATCCAAGTGATTGGATAGGGATTACGTTGTGTTTGTATGTGTTTGTCCCGGTTTGTCCTATTCCCTGTAGTTAGGAAACAATGATGAATCACATTTAATCACCATTTTTGAACAAGGCCTGCAACCTAACCATCAGCATCCGCTGCGCTGGAACCATCATGCTTTCATGGAGTTCACCACCTGGCCTTGGTCTTCGGAAAAGGGTCAATCCAACCAGTTGATCGGACCTTTCCCACGCATAGGACGTGCGGCGATCCACTGTGGCAGCCAACTGGTCAATCCATGTCAATCCCATGTCAATTCTACACATTCCTGAATCGTTCATGTGAATAATACTGGCACAAAAAGGTGCATGACATGATCCCGAGTTCGGATGACCATCAAGTCCGCATCATGACCATATATTACCATTATCACAGTGAACGAAATCCGTTTCGCTCCTTTTTCTTTTGAACTCAAAAAAAAGGGCTCACGATCATCGAAGTTCATCGATCATGCCTCTACACAACTCATCACACGAGAGGGTTCTCTGCTCTCCCCTCCCAAAGTGGTCTTTGGGACCTTAGAGAATCCCGACCTGAATCCGGTGCATTCTTCACACCTTCATCAAAATTTGACATTGAAATTGAGAAAAATACGAGCTCCTTCAGCCCAAGCCCCTTTTCCATTTCCCAGCTTCCTTCAGGTGCTAGGTGGCACAAGGAAAAAACTAAGGAGAAGTCCGTTTCGCCACATCGGCCACATTCCTCCCAACGAATCCAGCTTCCGAAAATGAAAACATTGAGCCCCTCCCAACTCACTCGCGCCACTTCCCGAAAAATGCCAGGATTCTCATCTAAGGTGCCAAGGGTCACGACATCGGCCTTCCATGCGAGCTCAAGCCAGGATCCCCAGCCAGAAGTTCGTCCGCTCGCACCAAAAGGCTGTAGCCAAACCAACGCTGCTTGAGATAGTGCATCCCATGGCTGCCCTTTCGAGCATCTGAGCGCACCATCATGCGGCCATCATCAAGCCAAGCAATCGTGATCACACCTGACCTAACACCACTTGATGACATAGGTACTGACAAGTCGCTGTCAAAAAGTTTCTTCCTCCAGCCCCCATGTCGATGAAGCTTCACCGTCAAAACACCTCGAGGCAAGCGAAGAACCACCTCATGTGTCATGCCATTGGAAGGCTTGACCTTCAAAATGTCCACCACCTCCTTGGAAAAGAGCCAGGTGAACCCCTGAAGATGGTCCGTGATCAGCCTCTCCAAGAACACTTCCATAGATTCACCCCCCCCTCGAAGTATAGACCCCCTCAAAGACCAAGGACTCTGGAAAGAAGTCGGACGCCCTCATTACCTCCAAGCCCCCTTCAGGTACATGTGAATCTCCCGAACGAAGCCCCCCCTTCGTGCCCAGGAGCTCCTCCATCATGTGGTTCCCCAGCTAGTACAGGATCGCCCCTGCCTCGCCGAGCATCACCTTCAACTCTCAAACTCCTTGCAGCCACACCTGAACTGCCAAATGCCCCCTCTTGTCGGGTGGTTGAGGAAAGTTGTGTAGATACCACTAACGGCACCTTGGCGATCCTTTCAATGATGACTTGTGCAACCCGGTCTCCCACCTCAAAGGTCTTCGCTGTCTGCCCGTGGTTAACCATGATCACCTTGACCTCTCCTCTGAAGTCGGAATCAATGACCCCACCAGCCACATCCAGCCCTTGACAAGCCAACGAGCTTCGGGAAGCCAATCTGCCATAGCAGCCCCTGGGAATTTCCATTGCCAATCCAGTCGACAGCAGCCTCCTCTCGCCCGGCTCTATCCGGACAGGCATCGTGGTGGAGAGATCCCAGCCTGCAGCTTCACCAGACCCTTTCTGAGGAGCGACGGCATCATCATGAAGGAGCTTCACTTTGAAATTCTCCTGGCCCGCAAGGAGACGCCTCACCATGTCTACCCCCACCTCCTTGATGAAATGGAGCAAACACACCAGACCTGCCAGCAACAGCCACCCCAAGTCGCCCAACATCGAGCTTGGACGAAGTCTCCGACTCCCCCTTCTCACACACTATAAATGGCATCCGAGACCTGAAACAACGAAGCTCCGGTCAGCATCATCATCATACACGTGTAACACACTTGGTCATTTTTCCTCCTCCCTCCCTCCGCCAACACCTGGATCTCCTTCTTGATGTCGACCGCCTCCAGAGGTTTCAACAGCACCCCAAAGCAGAACCTCTCTAAAGACTGTGACGGTAAAGGTTTCGTGAGCGCATCTGCCCAAAGCGCCGAACCAGCCCGATGCTCCAAGGTCAACTCGCCCACCCTCAACGCCTCCGCCAAACACGAAGCTCTGATGCGCAAATGGCGAGTCCTCCACCCACCACCGGAACCAGAACCCAGCACCACCGCAGCTCTGTTGTCATTATAGATCTCGAGGTTCACCTTCGGCAGCAACAATTCGACCAAGGCACGGACAGATCTTCCAGCTTGCAAGCCTTCCAGGAGAGCCGTAAGCTCCGCCTCCGCAGTGGATAAAGCCATCAGGCTTTGTTTCTTGCTTTCCCACTGCACTGGACACCCCGCCAACAAGATGATGGTTCCCGAGGTGCTGTGACTATCTCCCGGACTGAAGGATGCATCCACCAGAATCTCCAATGTGCCCTCTTTCCTTGGTTTCTTCCTCACCAACTCTGGGTCATCGTCCACCACAACATGCGGAGGGTATAAAAGACCATGATCCATAGTGGAGCGAATGTAGCTCAGCACTGAAGCCCCCAACTCCGAGGTCCAAATTGGTCGTTTCACTGCCCATTGCGACATCTTCATAACCGCCCAGGACACATCCGGTCTGGTTTTACCGGCTAGCCAGAGAAGTTCGCCGGTGATCTTTTGAGCTTTCTTCACGTCTGCCAGAGACGGGCTTTCCTCTTCCTTCTCTTCAGGCACCCGAATGAACGAGGAAGTCCCACCTCCACAATGCCGATCAAGAACCTCTCGAACAAAACTCCCCTGGTGCAGGTAGTAAGTGCCGTCCTTCCACCGTTGAATCTCTATGCCCAAAAACCTCATAGGAGCACCACCCGGTTCAGCATACTCTGGACATGAAGTGGACCAGACCTTCTTGATGGTATCTGACGCGGCATCAGTCACACTCCTTGAACCCACCATGAGCACATCGTCCACATAGACTATCATATAGCCCAGAACTTGTCCCCACTCCCTGGTGGCAGAAGTCATCGAACCCGTCGTGAACTCCTGGATGGCCCATAGATTTGCATCTTCCATAGGACGAAACCCATAGCTCACAGTCCTTTCTTTCTCCTCGGCCTCCTGCACCGTGACCATGCCCGTCATCTTCTTCAGCTCGGTGTCCCTGTACACACTCCAGTCCTTTGGCGATGTTACCAAACCGTACATCGCCGATGTCACCACCCAGTGCTCGTCTGGTGCAGCTAATGAAGCTTCGACAAGGATACGAGGAGGTTTCACAATGACAAGTTCACCTTGAGCCTTTGGAGCCAGTAAAAAGGCTGACTTCACGTCGAGCGACAAGCAGTGCCAATTCTTCAACGAAGCAACTCGCAACGTCGCTCTCAACTGAGTTGAATCTGCCCCGGTGGCATAGACCTCCTCCCCGGATCGGGACTCCATGTAGTTCCCACAGCAGACAATGCGTGCTCTTCGTCGCCCTTCTCCTGCTTTGCGGGTGAAAACACCCATGCCTGGTATGATTTCAGCCCTCTCTCCCCTGGCCTCCGCTTCTCTGACCAGTTGATTGGCTTCCTCTTCACTGACTCGCTGGATGGCCTGATTGTTCTCAAAGTTGGAGATCTCCTCTTTGAGCGGCGGAACCCACAATGGGAGAGTCTTTCTCACCTCATTCAACCCCACCGTCCTTGTCTGCAGAAACACTTCCGCCTGCTCGGTTTCCGCCTGGATGGTCTCCATCTCCAAACGTTTGACCTTGGCCTGGGCCTCCTGAATGTAGTCCAGCAAGCCGGCATTCTCCGTGTCCATCTCATCGATCATAGGAACATCCACCTCCTCATGCAAGTTGAGTTCCAACCTTCTGAACTCTGCATTGGCCCAAGCTTGGCCACACTCCAGCCGTCGCTGTGCCTCAATCACCCCCATTCGAGCCAAAGCGGTTTTCTCTGTCAGCCGCCTTTTGGGTTTGACCGTCTTGTCCAGCAAGTTGGCCGGTTCTTCTCTAATCACCACCTCTTGAACATCTTCCAATGTAGGAGGAGCGCTCGCTACCACCATATCATCAGTGCGCACAAACTTGCCGTCCTCCATCTCCACCAAATGGCCTCCGCTCGTCAAGCTCATCTCTGGATCTGGACCTCTGACGACACCAGGCTTCTTTCGGGATCTCCAATGTCCCTGAAAATCATCCCACCCTTTCGTTGTGACCATCACCCGCTGTCCCCAAGGCATGAGCGTCGGTGTGACCATACCCAAGGTGGCTAGTTGTTGACGGCCTCTTCTTTCACCCACATGCTTGGCCATCAATGGCCAGTACTCCTCACCATCTCCCGAGGACCTGATGAGCGTGTTGATAGCTCGTCGAATCACCCCGACTTCTGCTTCAGCTCGCTCGTTTGCCTTCCAATCACTTCCACTGGTGAAGGTGCGGTAGATGCCCCGATCCTCACACCACTTCCTGGTACCCAACATCTCGGCTGCTCCATCGCTATGCACCCTTCTGACCTCCAAGCCCAGGTATTTCAGACGAGCAACCATTCGTGCCAGGCAGGATTTCACCTCCACCCCCTGTCGTGAGGTTAAGGTCTCCACCATGGTGTAGTTCTGGATTTCAATCTCCTGTGACTCCACCTCCAATCGCTTCCACTCCTCAAGGACCTTGGGATCACCTT